TTTTAATCCATATTTTTCTAGAATTCATACCATCTAGAGTTTCATTTTTCTCTCCCTTTCATTGCAGTATCCCACAGCATGTGGCCCAATATAGTTTCATTCCTCCTATAAGACTTTGTGTAGGAAAAAAAAATGCAGTGGACATGTGGAAACATTATATGTCCATAAAAGAAGGAATGGGGGGAAGAAAGTTATCATACTAAAGTTCGACTATCATGAAAAGGATATTGGATCTACCATGTCAAATCAATTAGTGGGGTAAGCTGAGTCAGAAATGTGCTGTGGTGGTGGACAAAATGCATCAAAAATTAAGGACAAAATGGCCCCGAAAAGAAATAGCGTGTTGCATGTACCAGGCATACACAAAGAATAAGCCAGGGGCTTTCAAGGCTATATTTCTGAAACCGTACACATAAAAAAAGAGAGAGTAATTTGCTCTGCGTCCACTAAAGATAAAGTTGGCCTATTAGCAATGTAGACAGTTTGCAATAAGGTCCTAGACTGCGTCAGAGTAAGGCCTTCTTGGACCACTGTAAAAATCTCCATTCTCTCCAGAGCGACTTACAACACTGCTGCATTCATGATCAAACCATCAGATCAAATATAGATAGGCATTTGTAGGTAATCGAATCATCACAGGGATTTTCTGACCATAAGATATGGGAGTCAACTTCTGAGCTAACAAGCCTCAACTCAGAATTAAAATAGTCAGTCATGCATTCCTTACTCTAAAACTGTAACTGTAGCAGAAAAAATAGAGCTCTAGCTTATGTGACAAGAATGACAGATAATTTGACCTGATAGCCCTAATTTGCATTATTCATTGCATTTATATTGTGGTTTTATCACGTTAAAATAACAGCTGTAAAACAGCATGTGCTTAACCTCTATTAGTCTTCAGAGAATCATGCCACTGCTGTGAGGGAATTTCGAAAAATGCGCCATAATATCAGTTTCTATGCTGAGGTCTAATTATAGTCGATGCTTGGACACAGAGTATGGTTACTACTGCCAATTCTTTCTTTGTAATATTGTAAACACAGATTTAGAAAAAAGTGTAGTATATTATTTCTTAGCCGCATGTCATGCAGATATAGTTCTTAAATAAAGCTGAGGTCAGTATGCGGTCCTATGCTGTAGTCTGAGTTATAATTGAAATAAGGCCTTCATTAAACATGTTTTCTACAAACTATTCTTGTGTAACATACAAGATGAATTCTTTATGCATTAAACCTTAATGCAACACACTCGGTTTTATGGTAACACTGGATAGATGAGACCAGAGTGGGGTTATGATGCCCTTTAAAATCAATGGACTGCCTCTGATTTTATTTTTATTTGTGATATATCATCAGTTGTGTTTGTTATGTGTTTGTTTGTTTGTTATGTTTTTGCAGCAGTTCAAAGATTCAAAGGAGCTTCACATAACAAAGACTACAGAGCAGATGTTGTGTGAAATAGAAGAGACACATTTAAAGAATGGCCAGGCCGACATCTAGATAAGTATCTCAGAAACGCGGCATTCTAAGTATAAGGAAATCCACTCTGTGATTAGTAGTCTTGTGATGTTACTGTTACAAGGTACTTCCAAAAGAGGCACTGTTTTTCTAATGTGTTTGATCTTATCAAATACATGTGACCCACAACACTTCGATGGGAACTCAAACTGAGTGCAATTATTACGACAAAGACCTTCAAGGTAAACCCAGGTGAGTGAGAGAAAAGAAAAAGAGAATTAACATAAACATACAGCCTCAGGGCATGGAGGGTTACCTTAATAAATAATAATAATTTAATAATTAATTAAATGAGGACTGTAAAGAGTGAGCAAATAGTTTATGGTCCCATAATGAACGTGCAGTAGTACCTCCTAAGATTCTTAGATTCTTATCTGTCCTATGCTACGCTTCACTTCAGTGTGTGGGTGTGTGTGTAAGTGAAGAAAGGCGTGTTATCTGGTGTTGTGACAACATCATGAGGTGGATTTCGTGTTTCCCCAAAGAAACTGGATGCATTTTGATAAAAATCAAGCAATATATTTCAGTTCATTAAGACATATCCCCTACAATGGTATGTAGAGTAAAAACATCATTGGTTGATAATGAGTAAGTTTGTAAGTAAGCAACTGTGAATAATGTTTGCTTTGAAATCACAAAATATGTACGACACACTCAGGGCCTTTGCTGGAAATGTGTGTTTTGCAGTATATATACATAAAACACAGCCTAAAATCAAATTAAAATATGTCAAATATCACTTGACAGACAGACTGAATTCTCTATATATCATTAAATATCAATTAGATAAACATTTTTGAAACTGAAAACAAGTTTAAAACCTTGCCATTGTGCTATATTTGTCTTTTCAGACATTCAGTTTAAATATTCCCATTATGTTTCCATACTTGAATACATTTGATTGGTTTTGAATTATTTTACTTGTGAAACTACACATTTTTAAACTTGTAAAACAAGTTAAACAACAATCATGTATGTTATTTATGTCACCGACTGTCTTCTCACCTTCCAAACATGATTCTTAAAGGAGGCCTAATGTGACGAGTGCTTTAAAAAAAAGCATCTTTAATCTGATTATTCCGTTTTCCTTAATAACTGTAACTCATTGCACTGACTAAACTGTTAAAATGTGATGAATTGCTTATAATTATATGTATCTGTAATCCAGTAAGACACAACATGTCTCTACCCAACCCTGCATACATTCACTGCACAAACATGCATGTATACATTCAGCCACAAGAGGGCACATGTTAGCTCAATTCATAAAGTAGTGGAGTAAAAATTTGCTGTATGACATACTGTCTGTTAAGCATAAATCACCACTGAATTGATTTTCCAGCAGGGGAATCAATGTGTTTGATTATTTCTGCTTTCACAAGAATATTTCAAAGTACATTTTAAGGTCTACAAAGTCATATCTAGACGTAATGTGACAGTGGTATATTTATGGTATGGATGCTGCAGATGTTATCATGTGAGTGGTGAGCTTGAGCTCTTTCTACTGCCAAAAAGGCACATGTGAATTTTAAACTGATCAAGAGATAATTATCAAAAAACAAAAGACTTGCTGAACTATTTGGAGCTAAAAGGGCAGAAGTGCACTTAAAATAGGTTTTAAAAAAAGGTTTAAAATATATATATATATAT